GCACCGTAACCAAGCAACGGCAGGATACATGTTCAAGTACTTTGGAATATATGGGGCTGCCAAAGATTAGTGTCTATTTTAGGGGTCCCTACATCTTTTTGGAAACTACCATATCTAGCAGTCGTGTCGCAGCTGCTTTTATGTCCACGAAATTTAGCTCGTAGTCTTCAGGCATCGCTGGGCTGGTGCGTAGGGAACCAACGCATCATTAGCCCTCAGCTCCCCCTGCTACCACATTATCATACCGAATCATACCTAATACCAGGATATTTGATCTCAGGCCCTAAACCCTAAACCAGGAGTAGTGAAGATTCCTTGATTCAGCCCTCGACAGGAATCTGGCCGCCGAGCAAGCCAGGCTCTCTGAAAGAGCACCGACAGCAAGTTGTCCGACAATCTGAAATTTTGTGTGTTTGATGCTTTCCTAGACTTACTGCCAATTGGTAGAGAATAGAGGAATATCATCCGTGCATAGTCGTGTGTTTGAGGCTTTCCTAGGGGCAAGACCTGGGAGTTGCTTCATTGGCGAGGGCTAATGGGGGCCACCTTGCTCGAATCATTTCGAATCCATTATACTTTGTACGAATTGGTAATTAGTGGGAGAATAATGGGATAATGGAAAAGAAAATGGAATCGTCGGTTTAGTTGGGGTTTAGGGAAGGGATGCCTGCCTAGGCACGGAAAACGTGATCCACATTGTCGGTCTCGGCGAGGCCACGCAGAGCAAGTCTGACAACAGCAATTCCCGTCTCTGAAGCCCAATGGGGTTTGAGGTAAGATGATGGCCTCACTTTGTCAAACCAGCATTTGCCTGGCATCAATCTTGTTCAGCTGCCTCTACCGTCTGGCAGGCATGCAGAATAGCACATCGGGATCTTGAAAAGTATGGAGCCCGGCTGCCTTCTACTTCAGGCTAACTTCCGGGAAGGAGGCGTTGTGGGGACGGTGCCCTTTGAACCACTGTGAGTGGCCCTTCTTTGCCAGTGCCCAACCGCAGAACCCTGCCAAGCCACAGCCTACCTAGAAACTTTTGAGTTTTGCTAAGCTTTGGGGCATCCAAAGGAACAAGATCCACATGAAGGAGATGAGGGACAGGCCGGCGCCTCAAGCGTCTGGTTGATGAGGATGAGCTGAATGTAACGGAGGAGTTTCTCATGCGTTCAGAGCTTCTGCCATGTCCCTCTGCTTTATCCTCCATGAATAGCACCCGCAATGCCAGTGCTGCTGCTGCTGCTGCTGCTGCTGCTGCTGCCCAACCCCTGCTGGCAACATGGTCATCCAGCATTTGTGGCTACATGTTGTGCTGTGCGCAGGCTGCAGGACCAGCTCCTCAAACGCATCTTGCCTCATTGGGTAACTTTGCAAGTCTCGTGCCAGCTGCTGATAACATAGTTGTACAGCCTGCCATACAGTTCCGTGAGATGTAGGTGCGCAACATGTTTAAGCGAGAGCAGTAGGGACGAGGCAAGCCAACAAACAGGTGCGTAACTTCGGGTCACATTTGTTACGATGATGTTGGAGCCTCTGCAAATTCATACACTTCACTGGTCCTGTGTCTGCATATGGGGATCCGCGCTTTTTCCCCCCACCGGCATCAGTTGCTAAGGCTTGGGCTCGAGAGCCCCGGCCCAAGCCCACAAGTGTCGATGCTACTGCTACAGCTCACGCAAGAAGCAAAGTTCAAAGTCGAACGTTTTGACTGCAGGCACATCTGATGAGACGGAATGGTCCTGATGAGGCGCGGTGACAACGTGACCTAGAGGTTTACAGAAGACATTCATGCCTATGCCGAGCCGAGGCTCTTCGGATCCATGACGTGAGTCTGGTATCGAGGGTCCTTTATTTAGTTCTGGCCTGCCTTACTGGAATTTCTCCATTTTTGATGCTTTGCGTCAATAATTCAAATGGCGCATGGAGTCGGGCTGTGAGCTGAATAGCTGTTGCGGTCAGCAGAACATAGACCATAAAGCCTACACCTCAACGCTCCAGGCCCGCTTGCCGAACACGCTGTCCGTCTCCTTCTACAAGGCCATCATCGTCAAAACACTCATGTTACCATGTACAACTATCGTTACCTGAGGCATTGATTCCTTCTGGGTGGTTATTACCGTTGTTGCTTGCATTGGAGGCTCTCGTTTCCATTACGACTACGCATTCTTGTTGCTATGTTTTGGCAGCCGGTCCTACCTACCAGTGGTGTTCCCACTGCTTGGTTAGGGATGCTCATGGAGCGGACAGATTCATCCGGGCTGTCTGCAAGTTTTGCTGATTGCTGGTTTGATATGGCCGTGCACAGGTGGAGGCCAACACACTGCTCTCAGAGGCGTGCCGCGAAACCGAACGTTCCACAGCAGCGCAGTCGGTCTGATTAGCTGTAACGTCTGTTCCACAGCATCTCACGCATGTCTGACTCACGCAGTGATGACGTGATGCCCTTTCCCTGTGACTATCAAGAAGGAGGGTCTACGGAGTCGCATCTTAAGTGGTGGATTGTCGCAGGTGGGTGATGATGTGGCTGCTTCTGCCGGAGCAGCATGCCACAGCATCTGGGCTGACTTTTTCGATCCTGGGCCTTTGATCTTCGGCATGCTTGCTGGCTCCTTCGGGCTGCCGAATCTTTGAGGGCTGATATCAAAAGCTGCTATGAGCGCCGCGCGAGCTTTTGAATTGCGGGTCAGACTTTGCACTCGTCCCTACAAGCCTCTGCAAGTGCTCTAAGGCGATGAGGTACACATGTCTCACGTGCTGGAGGCCATGCGCGGGAGTTCTAGTTGAATTCCTGGTGGGCTTGGGGCCACCGAGCTCTACCTTGTATGGCTCGAAGAAAAAGCCGGAACTATGTGGGCCCCTCATGGCCCCTCCGTGAGTTAGCAGGGATGCTAAGCCCTGCAGAGCTTAAAGGTGAGGGCTTCAGAGAAAGCGGCGCTGGGGGGTAGATTTTGCAGAGATGGGGTCACCCTTTTGAAAATAAGTAATCAACTTGCAAGAACCCTAAAAAGGGGCTCTGAATTTTGAGAAACTGCGCCAGGCAATGGGTGTGAGCAAGGTTGGACCCTCAGCTTCAAGTGAGGAGCAATGATGAGGACAACACGAATAATGACAACATGACGAACGATCGTACAGGAGTAGGAGTGAGCTTAGCAGTAGCTGTAAGAGCTAGAGCCGCTGCTGCCCCTGCTGCTGTTGCCGCTATAGTGGTGGCTATGCAGAGCATTTTTGTGGTTCAGCTGTTCAGCTCGTAACCTGCTGGAGAGATGCGAGCCTTGCAGGGTTTGGGCATTACGAGCTACAAAGAGGGGACGGTGCTTCGTCCGAGAAATTCTTCTTGACCTTAGGAGTGGGCCATGGGAACCTGCCGCTTCACAGTGGGCCGAGAGACAACGGCCTCCCAGGCTTAGACTTGCTCAGGAGCTTGAGACCTACGATGCCGTGCTGACACAATTTGTAGTGCGAATAAAGGCGCAATATGAAACATCAGGGAAGCAACAAGGAGGCTTGATGAGTTTAGCGTCTTTCAAGGGATGCTTTTCTATAGCCTTCAGGGTGAATGCTCCATTGCGCATGGCTGGGCAGTACATGCAATACTCTGCTTTGCCTGATGGGAAACTTGCGCATGTTTTTGGCAAAGAGCCGTTCGCAGATTGACCAAGCTGCCCTCGTCATCGCCTCTGCGGTGAGCAGGCAGGCGACTTCGTTTTGGAGTGTCGAATTTCCTTTGCATGGAATACTTAGGTGGGAATTGCCTTTCTTCCCGGAATAAGCAGGCTAGCGCTAAGTTTCAGCCTTGCTGCTGCGCCTCAACTCAGTAGTATTTTATTTGGGGATATTATATTCCCGGATATGGAGTAAGATTTTATCCTCTTTTTGGGCTGTTGTATATGTGTCGTATATTAGGAATATAACCCGCTGAATTCAGTTACAAAAAAAAGCCGCTTCTCGACTGAGGCTCATGCCCGTGGAGAACGGGAACGAGGCCAGGGAGTAGAATCTGTGTATAATCCCTGTATAATAGATTCCCTTACTCCCTACTGACGCTTAGTGAGTTCCTGCTTTTGCTGGTGTCGAAGTCATGGCTATGGGCCGGTAAAACTGTGGTGGCTTAGTCCTCCATTAGGTCCGTCTACCTGCAGATGGCTATAGAGGCTAGAGCTACATGCTCTTCACACACTCATCATTATTATCATGCTCGTTGAGGCCCAAGATGATGTCGACAGAGACTTGGAGGAGGCTAGCGGTGCCCAGTTTGACTGTAAAGGGAAGAGCAGAGTCTACAAAAGCACGCAAGACGTCGAACATGTAAAAGGACCAGCGCGTCTTGCATTTGATTTAGCTTTCATGGGATCATTTACTTTGATCATGATGGCGGGTCCCTAAGTGCACAGGAGGGTCCCGCAGGCTGCTAGGAAGGAATACAAATACAATAATTCGACAAAGTCCGATGACAACTGGAGTTGGTACAATGTGCACATCAAGGCAATGGCCATGGTCCTGGGCTACAGCCCGGATACGTTTTAGTTCGACAGGATGTTGCATCTGTTGCAGAGGGCCAGAAGAAAGATTCACATTTACATGTTGTGAGGGTACCTGTTTGGGGGTCCCCAGAATAAATAAGGACAATAGCATTTGGGGCTATATATTCGGGCTCCCCTATTTATTTCAGGAAACCACCACATGTTTTGAGCATTTGCTGTGCAGATGGATCCGGCCTCTGTGAAGCTCACGCGCTTCACGCACGGCATGGGTTGCTTGGCTTTGGAAGGTTGGGTCGCCATAAGGAGCCAGAGATTAATGTAGCTCTGCATTCCTCCATGCTACTGCATGGCGCATGGATGATACTCTTCCTACGTACCGTGCATGCCAGCATTGAAGTTCTGTCAACTTCCTACGTCAACAATCCTGAGCTTTTGCTCCCTGAGCATTGGATCCTACAACTGCTTCTTGTTGCTCAAGCAACAGATTTAGATTCGAACCAGTGACATTTACCGCCTCTTACTGAAGCCATGGCCTTGCGTACGCGCGCGGGCAGTAATTCCTGGAGGAGTTTGTCCTTGATGAGCACAGATAGCGAAGAGCGATTCTACGGTGAGCAGGATGAACAGGACTTCGCCTCAGACGTCTACGTCCTGGCGGAGAGCTCCACCGACGAGCTCCTCAATTCGTGGAAGGTTTTCACTGCTCTGAAGGATGAGAGTTATCAGGGCAGGCGCCTTGAAAACGCAGCCTGGCGACTTCATGCAATGCAGAAGCTAGCATCACCATTTAGTAGACCGTTTTGCGGAGCCTTGATAACTTTGATGGGGACTCACTTCTCTTGTGATGTTGGCTGCCTTGTGAGCTCCAACCTAGGAAGCAAGGCAAGAGCCCCAGCCTGCAAGCAGCCGCACGCGTTGGAGCCTTCATGGCCAATGGCCTAACGATCTCAGAGCAGGTTGAGGATGCCCATTTTAACCGCCAGACGGCCATCCAGCCATGGAAGAGCAAGGTGGGCCAGGATGCCGCTGCTGCAGGCAAGGAGTTGCAGCCGATCATGGAGGAAGCCTGGAGTGCGGAGCAGCTGCTCGGTGTGTTCCTGAAGCATAGGCTGAGCAACAATGCTATGGACGAGGTCTTGCAGGTACTTCATGGCGGCAAGTTCAGTCCAGCAGATGTTCCCATCACCTCCGAAGAGTTGCGGAGCCTTCCGCACGGCAGCCGTCCAGTCTGCGCCATCTTCACTCACAGCCTGGAGAGGAACGGCGCCAACAACTTCTGCCTTTACATTGCCCGCGTGCTGAAGCACAGCCAGCCGCTCACAATTTTTTCTCCAAAGGCAGGCCCCATGAAGGAGGACTTTGAGAGCTTAGGCCTGGAGGTCACCATCGTAGACACGACATCTCCCACTTTCCTAAAAGACCTGGGCAGCGCGCTGCTGAAACGCAATGTTGGCATGCTCTTGGCCAACACGATCATGCGCTGTGACATCATCCTGATGGCATCGGACCTCGGTCTGCCCAGTGTATGGGTCATCCATGAGTCCTGGCCGCAGGACCAGCTGGACCACTACGCCAAAGAGGTCTTCATGTGCAAGGACATTGACTCCGCCATCATCAAGAAGGCCTTTGCTGCCGCTGGGACCATTGTCTTCCCGTCCGACATGCAGCGCCACCTGTATGATGGTCTCTTCAGGCCGGAGGCGGGCATCACAATCTACAACGGCATCCCCCTGCAGCAGCTGGACCACTTCAAGCAGACTCAGGACTCGGCATTTTTTGAAATACCTCTCAGAACCTGATTCCCATGATCCTCCATCCTATTTTTATAAGTTTGTCCCATTGCTCCCCTAGGATCGGCGCGAGGTGCGAGCAGCATTGGGCTACAACGATGAAGACTTTGTAGTTCTGCATCTGGGCACAGTCTGCAGCCGAAAGGGGCAGATGTTCTCCGCCACTGCCTGCTCCAGGCTGGGATGCTGTTAAAGAACTTCAATTAAGTTACCATGATGGGTACATTTAGTAAATAATTTGGTTTCCCCAATGTACTTACCCAAATTAGGTTCTTTAACAGCAACCCAGCAGGCTCATCAAGGAGGACGGATGCAAGAACCTGAAGCAGCTCATTGTCGGCGCGCGATACATCAGGGACCACGAGATCAAGTACATTGATCAGATCTTTGAGGTAGCTTGCTTCAAAGACGGGATGTTTCGCTAATGTTTTACTATATCCCATTATTTCTCATGACCCATTATGTTCTATTCCAGATCTTTGAGGTAGCAGCTGCCCACGGCGTGTCCTGCCGACGCTGGGAGGATTTGACTGAGGCAGAGCGTGGGCAGCCCGAAATCACTGTCATGGACATCCAAGCGGCCGTGCTGCGCTTCTACATGGCTGCTGATGTGGTCTTGATACCTTCTCTGAACGAGGTCCTCCCACTGGTGATTTGTGAGTCCATGGCCTTTGAGCGCCCTGTGGTTTGCAGCCGGATCGATGCAATCCCCGAAGCAGTCACAGACGGAATTGAGGGCTTTCTGGTGCCGCCAGGCAATCCCGATGCCATTCGAGAGGCCGTGTTGAAACTGTACAGAGATCCGGCACTTCGCGAGAGGATGGGTGCGGCAGGAAGGGCACGGGTGCTGAAGCAGTTCAGCTACAACCGAATGGGCGAGCATTATCGGGAGTTGCTGGACACAGTGACCACGCAGCCAACCGGTCCCAAGGCACCTCCATCCTCTCAGGTGCTCAAAGGCCGCACCGTGCTGGTTGACATGGACAACACTATTGTAGATTGGGATGGTGAGTTCATTCGCCGCTACTCTGCCGCATCGGGCCGCGACATTCATGAAGTGGAGAAGCTTGCCTGTCCAGTGGATAATCTACGGCTTTTTACAATACTGTAGAACCCAACACAAACCATAGGTCAACATTGGGTGAACCCAAGATACCAGACGGCTAAGGAAGATTGTCCGCAATCGGGCAAAGTTCGAGATTGAGGAGAACTTTGACGAGTCTGAGCGCAACAAGGTCTTGGAGACGGTGGCATCGCCAGGCTTCTATGAATCCCTCGAGCCCATGCTGGGTGCCGTGGAAGCCTTGCAGACGATGGTGGCCGAGGGTGTGGATGTGAAGCTCGTCACGGCTCCGCACCCTACCTGTGCGGGGACCTGTGCTTTGGAGAAGTACATCTCGGTTGAGCGTCTGTTTGGAGCTGCCTTCCAGGAGCGGTTGATCATCACCCGAGACAAGACAAACGTTCAGGGAGACCTGTTGGTGGATGACAAGCCCCGCATCACGGGAAGCAAGCAGCAACCGTGGAAGCACGTGCTCTTCAGCCAGTCCTACAACAAGGACATCGAGGGCAAGGCAAGGCTTTCATCCTGGTCGTCATGGCGAAATGTGCTTTCCGCAGCCGTGTGAGGAGGTGCTGTTAGTTAGTTCGATCAGCTTGACGCCCAGGCATCGGCAAGGAATCCTAGATGATTCTAGCAAAGCTTCAACTAAAGCGAGACAGACGGAATGTTGCGACTTCAGTGCCACTGTACAGCAAGCCTGCGCGTCCAATCCCCTTGCATCAGGTCACAGCGTGGCCTTTGAGAATACATGTTAATTCACAGATCATTTGCACAGCATATGGAGCTCTTATTGCACCTTATGCGGTGCTGGCGTCAATACTCATGTGCAGTGGCCCACCGTGCCCAACGTCTCTTCCAGGCTGCAGCCTTAGGCGACGCCGTTACATTCGGCCGGAGCCAGATGTTTGCAAAGCTACGCCAGCGAATCCTTACAGAGTGCCATTCTGAGCAGTCATCCTTGTCACGAAGTGTTTGTGGGTGGACGCAGCGATGACAGCTCAACATGCAACTGCTCATCCGGGTTGCCACAGATGAAGCTATTAATCATTAGCTAAGTCAGCAAAGTAAGCCTGCCCGCGGCAGCCTCACTTTTGCAGTTGCACAAATCCATGCTTTTGTCTCGGAGTTTCGGGCAATATACAGAAATACACAATGTTCACCCTGTGAGCACAGTTTCTGAAAAAGGGCACGAGTTGCAGCCGAATGCCACAGTTCGTGCTCCGCACATGTACAAACATCCCAGAACCTGCTGTCTCGCAATGCTACAGCTGATGGCTCAGACGAACCAAGCAGAGGTCAGATTTCATGCTTAGGTCTCGCCTACAAGTAAATCCTGCTCGTCCAACCACTTTCCTGAGCTAGCCCGGCGACAAAAGTGACATGAGCCTTTGGAACGCCAGTTTCCCCCCCAGCTCCCCCTGAAAAGGGTCCACAGCCGATTTACGTAGAAGCAGCTGGACTGCCCAATGCCGCATCAAAGCCATGCGGGTCACAGTCAGCTCTACGGCGGACAATTGCGACCCTCGCTTGACTTGGCCATGGGTGACCTGTAGACTCACGCACGGAATGGCGTATGGGCGCTTGGGCAGTTCTTGAAATTCCATCCCGTTGATCAATGAAAAGGAGAGGTGCAAACATGACGAGGCAAGCCTGGTTTTGGCCCATGTGCCCCCATTTAAGGGGTCCTGGAAATTGTTTGAGCATTGACGTGGTTCGCATGAAAGGAAGGGTGGGTGATCGAGCTCGAGGTGTCGCAGAAGACGACGGCCAGATGCTTTGGAAGTAACTTCCTGGTTCTTTGTAGGCCAGAAGGGAATATGTTATGTAGGAGTATATGGATAACATTCCCTTATTCCCTACTAAGAACCAGTATGTGGAAGTAAGTTAGGGTGGGCTACTTCTGGTTAGCAAGTAGTGAAGGAATGGAAAAGAAAATGGAAACCACCGTATTATTGGGGCTTATAAGGACTATTACAAGGATCCATTCCTTCATTCCTTGGGAACCAGAGGTAAGTTGAGCATGTTGAGCTCGCCTGGAAGCTGCTCATTATTATTGCTGTAGTTACTATTATTACTATTATTGTTACTTTTACTACTAAGGTGGCGGCGCTCAAAAAGCTGCTGGCCGGGCCACCCCACTTCCTCGGTGTTACAGCAAGCACAAAAGTGCTGCTCCTGAGCTAAAGCTGGCATTGTGCACACGCAGTGGTCATCGGTCTGGCCCATGTTTTTCAAACGCTTCTGACGAGGGCGCAGGCGAATGCAATGTGTTTGGTGAGTCCAAGTTGGGTAAGCATGTCTCGTGCGCCTACTCTATGGCTGCACGCTGCCGCTCTACGCCGTACACACGTACCCTGCAGTGAAAGCATCGGGCAAAGTTCCTGCGAATAGCTGCGGCAACATGTCCACTGCATTCCGTTGAATGCTAAGATTTCGTAACAATGGAGCCTTGGTCGCACCATAAGTGCTGGATGCCACTTCAAGCAGGTTGCAAGCAGAGCTCTTTCAAGAATACTTGGCTGATGCAGGGTAGATACAGCACAGGGTTCACAGATATCCTTCCATGAGGGTTAGTAACACGGAGCTTCGTTCCCGCATAGCCGAGGCGTGTTGACAACTTTGTTCGACAAAGAGATTGTACATAGCCATGCAGCTTGGCCAGATTGGAGCAGGCACTGGAGCAATGGATCTCTATGGTAGGTTTGACAGAATTCTGAACACTATCTGCTCACCTCTGCCTTCCCTAGTAACCTAGTAATCACGATTAAGTACTGTGACCAAGACCCCAGTTATCCCCTGCTGAAGTCACCTGGGACCATGCTTCAGTGCCAGGTCACGCTTCTCAATGCGACTGGGCTGGCAAGTGGGGGCTTTTGGCATGTGAGCAGTGTCACAGGAGCGTTGCGTTTGTGCGGGTTTAGCTGCCTGAGCACTGTACACCAGCAGATTGCAAAGCCGCTGGTAGCTGGTAGCTTAGAGAGTCACTGCACGTTTGCATGCTGTGGCCAAGCAGCAGCAGACCTGCAGGTGAATGATGACAGGGTGCTGGCATTCCCTTCTGGCTTTCTCTGGGGTGCTGCAACTGCTGCATACCAAATCGAGGGCGCGGCAGCTTGGTGACATTTTGTACTCGGCTGTATGCTCGTTGTATTTGCCATGGTATGAGAACGCAAAAAGTTAGAGAGCATACAGTCCCCTTTAAGTAGATAGAATATGGAATTCCCCAGAATCCTAATAACATCCCCACATATCCCATATTCTAACCTGCTACCTTCGAGTAGTATGTTGGGCAGGGGCAGCCAGGATGCCAATGGAGACTGGTCATTACGTAGTAACTACCTGTATAAGTTATCGAAGGGTGCTGGCATTCAATCAAACGTATCTCATTTTTAAGGTCTAGGAGTCAAAGCATGGCACAGCCGAGGTAGACAAGGAAGGGCGCAGCCCCAGCATTTGGGATACATTCTGCTCCATCCCGGGCAAGGTTCATAATGGTGAATCAGGACTCCAGCGTGCACCACATCAAGGGGGACTGACGTGCTACAACTCAAGGTGTTAGCACCTGCTGCGCAAGTCTTCTTGCAATTCAGTAGTGCCATGCTTCTAGACTAGGGGGCGAAGTCACAGGTTGCATTCCGTGATGCCTGAAGTTACAGAGCCCAGGACCTCCCAGTCCTCGTGCCTCAAACTGCAGTGGATTCTCAACGTACTCTTCGCAGTTGTCTCATTTGAAGGGTGGTGAGCCGGGTTTTCAGCTGCCTGTGGGTACGCATCCGTGACCTTGTGCCACATTCAGGAGCCCATGCTTGCGAGCACTATTACAGCCGCTGGGACCATCTTGGTACCTTGGGGGACGTAGTCTTGCCCATGCATCTCTCGCGCAGCGAAGTCGGAATAGGTCTACCCCGATACAGACGCACAAATGCTTGCAGTGCCCCGCGTAATGTGTATCGATTTGGCTTTAAGCTAGCAGCGTAACAGCTCTGTTAAAGGCACTCGTGAGAGAGTAGTCTAGTTCCTCAGATTTCTTTCTGCCTCTCTTGCTGCTAGGGTCCATGCAGTCTTGTCAGATTGCCTGCTTATAGTGCCCTAGGCACTCATTGTCCATGAAGTTGACCTGACAGGGGGGGGCAGACATAGCACCAGCAACACAGTCACGGGCTCGTTGCATGGTTGGCGCAGTGGATGGTGGTCAGCTACCCAGGATATGCTGACGATGTCAAGCTCATGGCCGACTTGGGCCCGTTGGCATGCAAGCAGCCAAAGCTCAGGGCTGTCACTGAGTTTCAGTCTAGACTCCATAAAGGGGAAATTATATAGGGGACTACTAGTGGGGGTTGCTAAGAGGCATACTTGCGGTTTTAGACTAGCTCACTGGTGTCTGAGCGTCGAGATAGGGTTTGTTTGCTGCCTGGGCAATGTTGGATCTGATCTTCTGGCGCCCATGACTTAGGGACCTGTGAACGATTGTGTCAGAATGTGTTTGCGGATTTCCAATCGAGACATTGTGTTCCGTCCGGTGAAGTATGCACGCATGTCGCGTCAAGGATGTTTCGCGGCTGTGATCCTCGCAAATTGTCACACTGCAGCATGCGAAACGCTAGGTCCTGATCAGGACAGTCCGAGTATTTGAATACCCATAGCAAGCGTTCTCGCTCCAGGAAAACAACAAAGAAAAGCAGCTTCACCGCTATTTCTTGACCAGTTTCATGCACTTTCTCTTTGCTCCAGAGGGGAAGACATCACAAATTGTTTTTAAGTTCAAGCAGAGCCTCCCTAACCTTTCTGATGACAGTCCCGTCATTGTTCTCCTAGCTAGGTTTACATGGATGGAAACAGACGTGCTACCCTCGCAAAGATTTCCCAAATCAAAAATCTATACTCTTTTCCATATTCGAACCGTTAACGAAGTTGCTCGACTCTTCCAGGGATGACCGCACCTAACACAAATGCTGCAAGTCAGGATTGAAGGCTTATCGCTTTTCGATCTCATGGTCGAGGCCAGTTTGCTCTCCATGTTTGCTTGCTATCACAGTTCACGCCGTGCTTGGATTTTGTCTGGGATAGTTTTGAGTCCTTGACCCTTCTTAACTTTGAGAACCTGAATCTCGGAATTGAAAGTATGACATGTGTGGATCTCAGGGCCCTGCGCCTTCAAGCGTTTATTTTTTGCTAAGTACTGCTTCAGCTCGGAACTCTTCGCACGAGCTGTCTGAACAGTAAGAACAGAGGTAGACGCGCCCAACGAGCTAGAGACATCAGAGAAAGCAAAGCAGGTTGCTGCCGGCTGGAACTGGCAAACCCAATCACCGTGCAGTGGATTTCTACCAGTCACTTTTGACGGAGTGACTCAGCTTCACAAGGGTATGCCCTGCTGAGGGTTGTTGAAGTGGGGGCCTGGGAATGATGACGCTACCAGTTTCGGCTCTGGATATATCTGGACCGGCTAGGAAGCACAGCCTGAGAAACGTGCACTCGAGTGCTGCAGCAAGGGCAAGACAGGAAGTATCATTCATTACTAAGCTTGATAGTGGTGCTTGCCTGGCTGGGATACCCTCAGCTGAG